GCTCTGATGCAGGCCTCGGTGCGCGAAGCGCGGTTATCTCCGCTCTCCTGGGGGGGGGCTGGGATATCCAGAAGGAAAGGGTGCGGGAGAGGGGGCGGAAATGGTGGATGGGGGAGGGGGTGGGGACAGCTCAAACCGTGCTGCAGCTGCTCCTGGAAAAGGCTTAGGCCCAAAGTTCTCTTTTGAAAGTTTAACCCCAGGATTTGACTTGAGGTGGGCCGGCGAATTGTTTTGCGACAAAGAACGGGGTGAAGACCCATGCTGTTTTTCAAAAGTTCATTTCGCGCGTGCCCACTCGGGGAAAATGCGCCCGCCATCCATCCTGGATCCTCGATAAATAACGGGGTACGCAGACCAGCGTTCTCCTTTGCGCAACATTCTCGACAAGTGGCAAAGTCTGGTTGCTGGATTTTTTCCATAAAATGAAGCCAATAAACATTGTGCGTGGTCGCTCCAGGATGGCGCGCCCTGCGCGCCGAATCCACGAGGATGTCTTGAGCGCAAAGCTTGTTTTGCACAACTTGAAAAGGCCTGGGCGCCCCATGATGTCCAGGTGGTTCTGGGAGAGTGGAAGCACCGTCATTTGCCAGGGATCGTGGCCATAGGGCCGCAGACGCTGAGCAATCTACGAAGGATCCTGGCCCTCGGAGCGCGGACACCGTGTAACTTACAAGGGATCGTGGCCCCGGGGGCGCGGACGCAGCGTAATTTACGCAAGGTCGCGGCCCTGGAAGCGCGGACGCCGTGTAAATTAGGAAGGGTCGCGACACGACTTCGCAGGAGAGCCCAGAATCGAATCGATAAGTGAGAACGGCGATTAAAATGAGTCGGATCGGCAGAAATCGGCAGCCAAGTCGGGAGAAGTCGAATCGGCAGAAATCGGCAGGCTTGTAGGCCTCCAGTGAAGATCGACACCCAAATCGGAATCCGAAGTCGAATCGAATCGGAATCGGAGGGCATCGAAATCGAATCGAATCGAATCGAATCGGAGGAATCGAAACGAGCCCTGACTTGGCAGAGTGGGCCGACAGGGAAGGCGTCGTGCTGCCGCGGCACCAGCGCGGGCGGCCGCGCGGGCCCCTGGCTGAGGCCCAGGTGACCTCGGACGTCCGCTTCGCACCTGGTTCGGGGGCCTGCGCCGCTCTCCCAACGCCGCCACTGCCCACAACAATTGCGCATCCAGCTGGGCCAACGGTGCGGTTCGTGGAGGGGGCGGGAGCTGGAGTACTGAGTGCTGAGTTCTGATCGACAGAGATGGGTGCGACAAGTGCTGCTTGCATTCAACATATCGGTAAACGCACGCCCTATTGACCCAATTTCCTCGCACACCGTGTCTGGGCTTTTCGCCCGCGTCTCCGTGCTTCCTCCCGCGCTGTCTGGGCTTGTCGCCCCCCTGGTTACCTGTTTTCTCCCGCGCTGGTCGGGCTTCGCCCTCGGGGCTCCCTGCCACTGGTCGGGTCTCCGCCCTCTGGGCTCCCTGCCCGCCTACTAATGTCCGTTTCGCCAGTCCTGGCCGCTGCCTCCCGGTTGCCCCCGCACAGAACAGGTCGCCTTGCGTATCCTTGACCGCCACCCGGCTTCTTGGGTTGCTGGTCTGCTGTGCTTAGACTGCCTCCCGGATCACGTACAAGGTCTTTGGGCCTTCTCTGTGTGGTGTCCCGATTCTCTATTGGCTTTCACCCTGAATGCATCTCCAGCTGCGCGCCCCAGCTTTGGGGGTGTACTCAGTCTAACATCTGGCCATTTCAAAGATTTCCTCTACACGTCTGGCTGATCGTTTTGAGCGAGATTGTTTCCAACGCCCTTCCTGTTTTCGCGCAATACCCGGTCTTTCAGCCATCTGGCCCTAAGGTCTTCCTCTTCAAATCTCGGTTCCTTCTTGCAACACGTGGTTTTGATGCGGCATCCCCGGCTCCCCGGACTTCCTGGTGTTCCTCGGCATCTTCAAGGTCTTCCACCTCAAGCCGGGCTCCTTGGACGTAGCCCGCATGTTTCCCTCGGCATCTTCGCGCCAGCCTTCACGGTCTGAACGGGCCCCTTCTTTCTCTTCTCGCGTTCTTTTCAGGTTTGCTTTCATGCCTCAATTTGCCTCTGGTGCATCCCGCCGCTCGCTTTGACCAGCGCCTGACCGTCTCGCACCACATGGCTCCCGCGGACTCCAAAACGTGATAGAAAGTTCAATAGTAAGGCGGGGGGGCGGAGGGGCGTCACGTGAAGTGGGTGCTAAACGTTTGTAACATGTTTTCCTTCAACGCTAGTCGCCTCAAACTTCGCGCCCTCGCGCACCGCGATGCGCGGTCATCTTCGCGCCCTCGCGAGGCCACCTTGGAGAAGGGAGGAAACGCGATCATCTCCGCGCCCCTGGGGATGGCCAAAACGAAACGTGAATGGGGAGACGGGAGCCGAAGATCGAGGCAAGGGTGAGGGCGTGGGCCGTGGCGGAGACGCGCGCACAAGCCTTCTGCGCCTCGCGCACCACGCAGTGCTTCCTGTCAGCATTGTCGCTGAGGATCCCGTCCCTGACCATGCAGGTGCACTGGTCGGATATCATGAAAGGGTTCAGGCACGGGCTGCCACCCATGTTGGGGTCCTCCCATCCCCGAAGGCATTCGATCAGCAAGCCGCGATCGACTTCAATCCGCCCTGCACCTCCTCCTCCTCCTGCTCCTGCTCCTCCCGCTCCTTCTCCTCCCGCTCATCCTCCTCATCCTCCTCCTCCTCGCTCGCTCGCTCGCTCGCTCGTTCACGCACACATCTTTGCATCAGCGGGCCGCTGGGACACTCAATCTGTTGGTCAACTGACATCGCTTGATGCGAGTTCGTACTCGAAAGCCGGAACGGTGAGCTGTAGGTGTTATTAGTCGCAACGCAAGCCTCAATCAACTTGCCGACGTAATCGGTCGTAGCGTACCAAGGGTGCCACATATCTCGGGAGCGAGACACAGAGGAACTCAAGGCGCGCCCGCACACGCACAACATACACATTCAAGAAAGGAGCGGGTCAGGGGTGACATTGACGCAGAGCAGTCTGATTTCCCTGTACCCGTGAGCGAGAGACAGCGCGCCTTGCTATATTATCCGGCGCACGTGTAATATGTGCGAGCTCGGTTTCCGAAACCAGTGGCCGCGTTCAGGCCGTATTTGGTTCGAGTCGCCTGTCTTCTTCGAGTTATCGAACTTCAGCCACTTGCCACACTACTGGTAGACACGCCAGCACGCGGGGCCGTGCCGCGCCACGCCGCCCGCGTCAAAACGTTAGTGTATAGGGTAAACAACGACCAGCAACGAGGCTTCCAGCGACGTTGCTTGCCGCGGGTCAGCGGTATCCGCACCCTGTCAGCCGCAACGCTGCACCTTGAACAATTTTTGGCTACGGAGGAAGATGATGACGTGGAGGAAACAATACTAAACACAACGTCGCTGGGCCCCTGACGTAAGAAGCACCAAAAACAGGAGGAAAGGAAAGGACGAATGTAAGCAGAGAGGCCCCATTCTCCCTTCTTCTCCGATGCTGCGGGTGAACAACTGGAAAGGAGGAGGACGAGGCAAGATAGTGGAGGAAAAGGATGGAGGGGGAGAGGAAAATGAGGAGAGAAGCCCCGCCTCGGCCTTCCAATCCTTTCGCAGGGGACCTAGCCGACTGTACCGCCCACGTGGGTCCCACGCGCCATGACGCCGACCTCCAACTATAAACCAACGACACACAGCGGGACACCTCTTCCTGGACAGACTGGCAACCCTTGCAGCCCAACCAATGATCTGACTGTCCCGCGATAGGCAGCAAGAAACATAAAAAGACGTGTTGTCCGATTTCGGAACAGACATCAACATCAGCTTCACAACTTGGCGGAACGGCTTTTTGCATGATTCGTGCAAGCTTCCCCGGTCTCGAACAGTCCACCTCTGCGGCTGCGCAACTCAATCATCCTCTCGCTCTGCTCCGCTTACCTGTTGCGCCCCCCAGTCCCCTGCACCCCCGTCCGGGCGAATTGCGCACGTGACAAATTTCGACAACCTGAAGCGTATGATTGCCATCGAGCTGCAAGCAATCGACAAAACAAGCAATCGAACACGAGCTCTCACGATCACCCCTTTCATCCCGCACTCTTTTCCCGACCTCACTTTCAATGTATGCTGCCTCTAACCCCGTGTGCTGGACATAAGTATGCTGTTCTCCATGGCGCCAGGGTCTTGCTTACTATCGCTCGGCGCGTCTGTCTTGCTTGTTGCGTCTGTGCTGCTTTCGTACTCTCTCCGTCCTCCTTCATCCCTTTCCTTCCATGACCCTTGATTCATCTCTCTATCTCTCACTCTTTTCATCGTCTTGCTCTCTCTCTTTCGCTCTCTCTCTCTCTCTCTCTCTCTCTATCTCCCCCCTGAACGAAGCACATTGCCACACTCTGAAATCCGACCGTACCTGCGTAGCGTGTCATGTCCCTCCTCGCCACAAACATGCTTGAGCCGCACGCTTCGCCAAACATGCGCGGGTGCTCGCCTGTACTTTGTGAAGTGGGCGTCGGTGGAATTCTCATGCTGTAACCTTCCCATCGTCAATACCTCTGCCGGTGTGACGAGGAGCATGTCGTCCAAAATCAGGGAGGTGAATATCCAACCGATGCGTTCCAATCCGAGAGCCTGGCAAGACCTTTTCTTTTCGCGTCCTTGCTACGGAAATCCTCCGACTGACTTCACCTCTACACTCAACTGCTGCACTGCTTCATATCCAGGCTGCGACTTCGGTCACGACTCCATGACCTGCCTGGTTCAGGAGTGCTTGAGAAGTCGGGGCGAAGATATCCCTTCCTTCCCTCTCCTTCCCTCCACTCGATCGGTGCTGTCTCCTTGTGCCCATGACAGAAACTGGAAGCGAACGACTGCCAACCACGGTGAACACGAGAAGCTCTCTGGGGAGGGAACCTGCGGGCGAGAGCCGGGGATAGCCAAAGGCGGTGCGCTAAGCATCATCAATCGTGCCTGCCGCGGCCGCGGAGCCGTGCGAGTCAGAAGGTGCCCGTGGCCTCGCTCACACCTCTGCGACCATCGCAGACTGCCTGGCTGGCCAAGCGCTCGAGGCTCGAGCTCACACCGCCTTCCACCCCCCCCGCCTCGGCAATCCTGTCGACCATTGCCCGCTGAGGATCATCCTTGGGCTGCGCCATCTCCCCTATCATCTCCTGGGGCGGGCCAGCAAGGGAGACGGCACAGCTCGCGGGCAGGGCTGCCTGAAGCAGGAGAGCTGGCCCTCCTCCTCCTCCTCCTCCTCCAGGATCGTATGGGTCAAGGGGAGTGAAGAAGCGGAGAAGATTCGAAAGGATGTCAGGGAGAAGGTTCGAAACATCCGCGTGTACCTGTACGTGCTCTTTCACGAAATCTCCGAAACAACAACTCTCGCCAGCAGCGCACAAAAAAGGGGTGGATATTGCTTGGCACGCGTGGTGCGTAACCCACCTTCCTCCTCGGGCGGGGCGTACATGTGGGGTAGGGGCAGACGAGGTGAGGACATACAGCTGGGTTCGTTCCCTAACTCCACCTTGTACCCCCCCCTTTCAAAAAACCCAGTCGAAAGGCTGGCCCTAATGCGGCTACACGCAAAGAGTGGCCTTGAGCAATAATGGCCTTTGTTGCGCGGCTTCAGGGAACGCGGGGGACGCCAAACCCAAGCGCGCAAGACGCTGCTGTCGCATTGCTTTGAGCGATCGGGGGACCCCCGAAACCCAGCCCGACTCGGATACCGTGATCCTGCCGACTCTGAGTTCGAGGGCCATCAGCGTGAGCTGCGAGTCCGACGACCCCGAGACCGACGCCGACGCGAAGCCCGACGACACCCAACCCGACGGCGCCCAACCCGCGCTGGTGTTGGCTTCCGCAGCCTCGCGCGCAAGCATGCGGGCTGAGAGCCGCTCGTCCTCGCGAGCTCGCCACGGCGGGGGGAGGGGCGGACGAGCGGTGGCACGTCGTCGGGGAGCGAGGGGAGAGCAGCGCTCGTGAAGAGATCATTCGAACCAGAACCCACGAGAGCGTGGATCGAGAGCAAGAGCCCCCTCGTCAAGGACACCAACCCCCGTGGATCCTGGACCGAAGGCCATTCCACGGCGGAGCGCCCAAGCACGAAGAACGTACGGGTACGTCTCCAAAGCTGCACTGAGCCCTTGTGCCACCAATACTTGTATCAAGCGCGGCCACGTGACGAGCCCCTACTGCGACGACCCGCTCAACCTCGAAGCTCCCCTGCAACCGCCTGCCCAAGCCTTGGAACGGAGGCGATGGGGCCATTATGGAAAGCGTCGGTTTGCCCAGGTTCGGTTAGGCCGCCACTGGTTGTAGTGGGGGACGGGGCGCGGCAAGCGCCGAGGCGAGGTGAGATCGTGCTTCGGAATAGGCACGGACGTTCCGAGTGGAGGAAAGCATCGGATATATCGCCCTTTCAAATCCTAGGCATGATCAACCTATACGCTGGATGGGCTGACTAACAGTGGCACGTCGCCAGGGGAGAGAAGACCAAACCGATACTGACGAAGAGGAAAGGGGACTGGAGCGGGAAGAGAGGGAAGGGGAACGGATAGAATGGGAATGCTGAGTGAAGGGGTGGGGGAGAGGAACGGGTATAGGGGGATGGAGGAGTCACGGGGGAGAGGAAAGGGGATGGGGGCTCAATGCCCCTTTCACATAGGACAGGTACATGGTGGACGCATCCTTGAGCCGACAACGCATCAGCACGGGAAGAAGCCAAGTTGTCTCAGTCACTCGCTCTCCCCATAAACGGCAACCTGGGGAGCGTCGGGGCGAATCTATGCGAGAAGCACGCGGCGCGGGTCAGGGTGCCAAGCGGCGCGTGGAAAGCACGCCAGAGACGCAGCGTCTTCTCCTGGGGCGGCTCGTAGATCCCCTCCATGATAGCGCGGCACCCCTCATCGTAATTCGTGTCCTCCAGATAATCCGCGGCCGTGCCCCAGGCAGGTGGTGGAGTGACCTCAGGGCCTTGATGGTTCTCAACACTGACGTGTGAGAGTCCCTAGTACTACAATGCGAAAAACTGTCGGCGTCTGTGAGACATTTTCCATTTGAATCGTCGTCGTCGCCGTTGCCGTCGCCGCCGCCGTCGTCGTCGTCATCACTCTCCTCCTTTCCCTGGGCCCTCCTCCTCAAGCAATCCAGCCAAACGGAAATCGAACGTCGTCATAATAAGATCGAAGGGAAGCCCCTTTCCTTTGATCCGTTTCCCGACGGGGGGGGGGTCCTGGGAGAGTCGCTGGGGGGGGGTCGTGACACCCGCCATCTCCGACCAAGACGGCTCCAAAGAGACCCACAGAACCGCCAGGGGGAACACCAATCGAGTCGAACAGAAGCTCCTTCCCTTTGATCCCTTCCCCGCCGGTGTGGGGGGGTCCAGGGAGGGGTCGCCTGGGGAGGTCCCTGGGGTGTCCCGAGGCAAGCAGGGCCCACAAGGGCCCCCTTGAGGGCTTGCGCGCGTCGTCGTCGCCGTCGCCGTCGTCGTCGTCGTCGTCGTCGTCGTCGTCGTCGTCGTCGTCTTCGTCGTCGTCGTCGTCGTCGTCGCCGTCTTCGTCCCCGTCCAGGATTGGCGGCACCGACCGTAAGGCCTTCGCAATATTAGGATAGTTCTTTGTCTCTGCAGTCCTGTCTTCAGTTTAGTGTCCACTAGAGGGCCCACCGCGTAAAAGAGAAAGCCTCTGGGGGGGGGAGGGGCTCAAATTCCTGGCCGCTCAAAGACTTTTAGCCCAAAGTAGAACACGCTAAAAAAGTAGGAAGAACCCAAAATAGAACACGCTAAAAAAGACGCCCGGGCGTTTTTAAAGCGAACCGAGCTCAAAGGTTCCCGAGGATTCCCTCGGGGACGCCACCAGACGGCCAGGAGGGCCCACGAGGCCTCGAAGATGGCACCGGGAGGCTCCAACGAGAGCCTCAAAGGCCCAAGACGGTACGAGGGGGCCGCCAAATGCCCACTGGAGCTGTCGTGGAGGCCTCTTCGATGCCGTCTTGGGGCAACTGTGAGTACCTCTCGGGCCGTCTTGGTCGTTCGTGAGGCCGAAGCGCCGAGAACGGTAGAACAATCCAATAACTTTCATGGGCCTCAACATGGCTCCAGATGGTCCCACGTAAAACCCACGAGTACCACAGGAAGCCATCAAGAAGGCTCCTGCCTGGCCCCGAGAGCGACCGCGAATCGAACCGAAGACTGTATCTTGAGCGTTCGTCCTCTCCTCGCACCCAATATTGCTTCACGACCCCCAGCCAGCCCTCTGAGGACCCCAAAGGCCCACCAGAAGCCTCCAAAGAAACTCTCAAGAAGCCCCTCCAAACGCCCCAAGTGACATTCCCAAACTATTCAAACGCAATACATCAAGCCATCTACATTACGGCCACGCCGCGTTACATCACCGCAATGTTGCTTCCCGACACGCGGCGAAATGCTTTCCACGAACACTGGAAAACGTGTATGGCTTCGACCGTTCCTACTGCGCTGCCGACCTACAACCCAGGTGCGGTGTCGGGATGTGCCGAAGGCCACTGGATAGCCATACATAAAGCCTCTCTGGGGCGCAATCGAATCAACTCCCATTGCTCTTCCATGATCCGCCATCCCATGTTCCGCAACCCTCCGCACCTCCAAATCTCTCCCTGCGCAAGGTGTACCCAACACCACCCGCAAGGAAGCGAGCGAGGGTGCTGCGAGTGACGATCGCAAGGTCACCTCCACCTCCACCTCCACCACCTCCCCCCCCCTACTCCCCGCCCCCCTGCTCTCCTCAACCCAACCCCTGCTCCCTTCTCCCTTCCTCGCCGTCCCTTGCTCCTGGCCTGAGCCTCATGAAGCCGCTCCCGAGCCTGTCCGCGGCGCCCCCCGCTCCACTATGCTGTCTGGCTGACCCACACCCTGGCCCCTGGGAGGCCTACGCGCTGCATGGCGTTCTCGAGGAGGTGGTGCTGCCAGTACCTCAAGAATCAGAACTCCTCCTCCTCCTCCTGCTACTCCCCCTCCTGCTACTCCTCCTCATATATGTACATGTATATACACACACACGCACACCTGCTTACTTACACATATACGTATAATTATGGAGCCTCCGCAACACAGAGCTAAGGGGGATGGGGGTATATTTCACAAGGTAGGGCTAACATGAACACGAAAGCATGGAAACATGTAATCATGATACACAATGACATACATAGAACGACGCGATCGGAAAGGCCGCACACACCTATAGCTAAATATTATGTTTTGTGTTCCTGTCCTTTCGTCTGCGTGCCAAGATTCAGAAACCAATGTGCATGGCGCGAAGCGCCAATGCACTCTTGTGCATTTCTATTCTTATTTCCCAACCATCATGTGGTGTTGGGTCCTCGTTTTGAAGAGACGTCGCCCCGCGTTCTCTCCTTCCTTCCCGCTGCCCCCTCCCTCCTCCCATCATCATCATCATCATCATCATCATCATCATCATCATCATCATCATCATCATCATCATCATCATCATCATCATGTCATCATCATCATCATCATCATCATCATCATCATCATCATCATCATCATCATCATCATCATCATCATCATCATCATCATCATCGTCATCGTCATCGTCATCGTCATCCGATCATCATGGACCGTCATCAGCCCATTAACGTCAGCATCATCCATCATCATCATCATCGACACACGGTTCGCACACCCCTCACACGTTTGGTGGCCCCATAGGGAGCTCCGCCGAAGGCCCAAGTGCTTCTGCCCGCATGCGTCACGCACACCCAATTCAGCACACCCCTCACACGTTTCGTGGCCCCATGGGAGCTCCGCCGAAGGCCCCAGCGCTGCCGCCCGCATGCGTCACGCACGCCCAATTCGGCACACCCCTCACACGTTTCGTGGCCCCATAGGGAGCTCCACCGAAGGTCCCAGTGTGTGTGCCCGCATGCGTCCCGCACACTCATTTCGGCACACTCCTCACACGTTTCGTGGCCCCATAGGTAGCCCCACCGAAGGTCCAGTGGGTGTGCCCGCATGCGTCCCGCACACCCATTTCGGCACACCCCTCACACGTTTCGTGGCCCCATAGCGAGCTCCACCGAAGGCCCCAGTGCTGCCGCCCGCATGCGTCCCGCACACCGATTTCGGCACACCCCCCACGCGTTTCGTGGCCCCATAGAGGCTCCACCGAAGGTC